AGTAGTAGTAGTAGTAGTAGTAGTAGTAGTAGTAGTACTAGTAGTAGTAGTAGTAGTAGTAGTAGTAGTGGTGGTGGTGGTGGTAGTAGCAGTAGCAGTAGTAGCAGTAGTAGCAGTAGTAGGAGTAGTAGTAGCAGCAGCAGTAGCAGTAGTACCACTATCAGCAGTCGCAACAGCACTAGCATCAGCAGTAGCAGCAGCTGTAGCAGCAGCAGTAGCGGTAGCAGCACTAGCAGGAGCAGCAGTAGCAGGAGCAGTAGCAGCGGCGGAAGCAGTAGCAGTAGCGCTCGCACTTGCACTAACACTAGCAGTAGCAGTAGGAGTGGGAGTAGGAGTAGGAGTAGGGGTAGTATTATTAGTCGTAGTAGTACTCGCGGTCGTGGTGGTGGTGGTAGTGCTAGTGGTAGTGCTAGTGGTAGTGCTAGTGGTAGCGGTAGCAGTGGCAGTAGTAGTAGTAGTAGTAGTAGTAGCAGCAGCAGCAGCAGCAGCAGCAGTCGTCGTGGTCCTAGTCCTAGTCCTAGTCCCAGTCCTAGTCCTATTCGTAGTCGTAGTCGTAGTCGTAGCTCTCGTCGTCGTAGAAGTCCTAGTCCTAGTCGTTGTCGCGGTCGTTGTCGTAGCCGTCGTCGTCCTCGTCGTCGTAGTCGTGGTAGTCGTAGTCGTAGTCGTCGTCGTGGTAGTAGTCGTCGTAGCAGCAGTCGTCGTCGCCGTCGACGACGTAGTCGTAGTCGTCATCGTAGGAGTCATAGCAGGGGCAGCAGGTCCGATCGTCGTGGAATTTTGTGGTAGTGTTCCTGGTGGGGGATCCCGGTCGGGGTAGTGGTCGCCGTTGGTGCCATGTACGGCAGCAGCAGGAGCAGCAGGAGCATAACAAGCATATAGTAGTATCAACGAGATAGCTGTTGTGATATCTGCTAATGGTTCCAACATCAACGGGTAGCAACAGCAACGCTAAGCAATAGCACCACCCACAATAGTGCTTAGTAAGGGAAGCACAAGACTGGGAGTATGATGAGCAGTGACAAGGGCTTGGCGTGTAGGTTTAAGGAGTAATAAACCCTAAACCGTACTAGCACTAGAGCAACACTACCGTATAATACCCAAACTAACCTTGCTAGTAAAACCCAAAGAACACAGCAGGGCTAACACCATTACCCCGTAGTCCCTAGATAACTCAATTGATTGAATTTCAGTATATATTGGAAACCCTAAACCCTAGACCCTAGTAACGGCCCTAATGTGCCTCAAAGCTCATTGTGATGATTAAAGTCGGGGCCTTAATAATTAGAATAGGGTCTTGGTTCCTTATTATGATTAGAGTTTTTTCCCCCCATTCCCATGATTAAGGTCCCTAAAGTACCCTAAACCCTAAACCCTGGAGCCCCGGACTCGTGTCGACTGAGCCGATGTCAGGTTCTGGTGGCAGGCTGCGCATGGGCAGGGTTTAGGGTTTAGGGTTTAGGGCGATACAGCACACAACTAATGTAACAATCTAAACTGGTCTATATCAAAGTAGAGGAAACAATCGTTACTACAGTATACAATGCAATATATAATGTTGTGTAGACGACGACGTCTAATATACGGCTCCTGAGTTCCTGCCACGGATTAGGGCGGCATTGACTGTAGGATGTGAGCAATGCAGGACTGCTTGAAAGTGGGGCTATACAGGTCCAAGGAAAATTCCTTAGAGTCCCACAAAACCCTGAAACCCGACTAAGCGCCTTGCAACCCTTGAAGCCCCAAGACAGCCCGAAGCCCTAAACCACCCGAATCCAAGCCCGAAATGCCCTAAACGCCCGTAGGGTATAGGGTATAGGGTATAGGGTTTAGGGTATAGGGTATAGGGTTTAGGGTTTAGCCTTATAGTCTCCAGCTCCTGCCTGGTTGTTGCAGGCTTTGCTTCTGCCGGTGCCGGGGGCTCAGCTCAACCCCCGCAGCTTCCGTTGACGGGGTCTACCCATACTACTGTTGATGGACAAAATCCTGCATGACCCAAATATAGTACCATAAATCCCATAGTTTAGGTATATAAGGTCATGCAGGATTTTGTCCATCAACAGTATGTTGGGGGTTCCTCACTATAAGTGTACCCCAAAACCCTATTCTAGCTGTCAAGGCCCTTATATTGTTTAGGCAGGGTCCTAGGACCCTTAGCTCTAAAGCCTTGAAGCCATGGGCCCTCTTCCTTGGCGTCAAGGGGCCAGGAACACAACAACACGTGAAGTCCCTAAAGAAGCCTAAACCAGAACCCCCAACCGCGCATAGCGTAGGGGTCTGGGTCAACGGATCTGGTTTCAGAAGTGCCTTCAAAAAGCTACAGCCCTTTAGTCAGGATGGTGCAACTATTTGTAGGGCCGCCGGCATGCAGATGTGCAGCCAGAAGTACCATTTAGACATCCGCCAGCTCGCTCTGCAGTGGCTGCAGTTTCACCCCGGTTTCTGTCATCGGCAACACGGAGCCTTCTGAATGTATGGCCCAGCTCATGATGATAACGAATGGAGCGTCGCCAGATTGCTTGGATTCGTGGCAGGGCCGTCCATCCCGCCTCGGTTGCTCAGCAGCAACAAGAACAGTTGATTCGGCACCGAGCTTTTCCCAGTCCCGATGCGCGTGTATCAGCCTGCGGTCTACTTTGTTGAGAATACATGGGGAGCGGGTTTTTTCTCAAGCGCCCCCAGAAGGTGGTCAGCCTGCATCAGCTTGCTAAGCTTCCATCTTGTGCGGCTGGTGGCCCAACTTCGCCCAGTTGTGGGCTGCGGATTGGGTAGACTGTGTGGCCAGGGGGGCCTAGTTGGCCATTGCCAAATTTCCGTTCTTGGTGCTTGTCATGGATTGACTCCGACATGTTGTGGCAGGGTCGTCTGGCTCCCACACCACCTTCGCCTGTTTGTCCCACGCCCATCCTAAGTTCTCCTTGGTCGAGCAGGCCCGTGTGGTTGCTCGGCGGCTCGCCCTCCGGAGCTTCCTCGCTTGAGCCATAGTTTCTGTTCTTGTGTCCAGCGGCTGTGTTGCGTTGGGGCTCATGGTAGTTGCGGCTGGATTTCCCCCTCACAGGGTGTGATGCAGGGTCGTCTTCTCAGCCCGCTCATAGCTGTCATGATTCGTGCACATTTGCAACAGTGGTTCGCAGCATCGGGTTGACGCGATCGTTTTTGGGTTGAAAAACGCTTGTGGACGGTCCGATCATATTGATCAGGATATTGGATTTGCTTGCCGTGCCGTTCAGTGCTTGGCTGCGACGTTTTTTGCATTGATAAGCGATGGCCTCAGCTCGTCCTGGGTCGCGCTGGCCTGGGTTGGCAAACGTCTGGCCGATGGCTCTGTCATCTCCTTTGATCGGCAAAACGTCGAACGCCGTGTTGAGATGGGTGTGAACAGTAGTTTCACCTTGCTTCTCGATTGGTTGAGGTTATCCGTCAGCACGCCCTTGCAAGTTGTGGTCGGGTGGCTGCAGGGTAGTGTCGGATGTCAAGGGAATTTCTAGCTTTTCTTTGCGACTGGCGCTATGCTCTGCCAGCAGTGTGCTGCCCTGATGTCTTCGAAATGCAGGTGTCTGCCCGTATGCTGTGCATTCCGACGCGCCTTGCCAATTTAGACGTCGCATGATGTTCTTCATGTAGCCAACGATCTCAACACCCAGGCGTATTTTGTATGCACAGCGACCGTTTTTCAGATGAAGTCTGGGCTGGATTGTGGCAGCGAAGCAAGAAGCCGGCCGATTGCTTTGTGAAGTGTATGAAGCCGGGCCGGGAGGCCGATTGGGTCAGTTCGTGGGCAAACATCCTTGACAATTGCCGAAGTAGCAGTCGTGCCCAATCAGTAAAATCGACCCGTGTGCATGCAGGATTAAGGCTAGTGCTACGGTTAAAATTAGGAGGGACCAACCTGCCTACAGAGACGAGGCCACATGTCACCTGTATAACATGGGCACGAGTTGTGTGCGATGTTTTCATGCTTGTCGAAATATATACGAAGAATTTCGTGTTGAACTCGCATCTGCAAGAACGGCCGAGTAGCTGTGCGGTTTCCTTGGTAGGTCTTTCGGCACAAGCCTTTGTCTGCGCTTCCTTCAATCTCCCCGCATCGCTTCATCATGGCGGAGGCCGAGGCCGTGTACCGCTACGAGTCCGGAAACATCGCGCATGCCCCGAAGAAGGACTACGGTCCTTTGGACTTCACTGGAAAGTTGGCGGGGGGCCTGCGACTCGACATCCGCAGGCGAGCACCGCTGTACTGCAGCGATTGGACGGATGCCTTCACACCGGAGAACTTCCAGAAGTCGGTATCGTCCATTTTGTATCTGCTCTCTCGTCCTCAATATCCAGACTGTGATTTGTTGAAATTCTTCAAACGTGCTGTTATTCTGAAGGTGTAGGTGATTATGTTTGGGTAAAGGCCACTTGTGGCAGTAAGGTTCATCGCCGCCCTTGCCCCTGCGATTACGTTCGGCAGTCGGTTCCTTGACGGCACGAACGGCCAGTTCGGAGTGATGGAAATGATCATGAGCACATGTATCAGCGGATTGATTTTCTCGACATTTTCCGGTCAGCCCCTTTCGATTCTTGGAGCTACCGGTCCGTTCTTGGCCTACACGCTTGTCGTCTATGATCTGGCAATTGCCGTGGACGTGGAGTTCATGCCGTTTTATTTTTGGACATGCATGTGGTGCTCCCTCTTCACCGTGCTGGTGGCGGTCTTCGATTTGTGCGCGCTCATGAAGCACGTGACCATGTTCAGCGAAGACATCTTCGCCGGATTCTAGCCTGTGTGGTGATGCAGAGTTTTTTTGGTATGCTGGGTTCCGATTCCAATGTGACTAACCTACAAGTGATTGGGGTTACTGAACGGTCTAGGATTAATCTCCCTCATCTTCATCATCGATGGAGCACGGCCGATCATCGAGAACTTCACGGA